TAACAAGAAAAAATTTTTTTTTGACACACCCTAATATATATATATATATATATATATATATATATATATATATATATATATATATATATATATATATATATATATATATATATATATATATATATATAAATATATATTTTGCATTAAAAGTTAAAAATACAAATTCTTTATGCATTAATATATTATTATGTCAATTGCCACAAGTAAATAGATCTAATTATTTACTTGCGACTTCACAAAATTGACTTTTTAATGTTAGGCATAAAGGTAAGTTTCCACTCATCCGTTTTTTCACAGGAAGGGGAAATGGAAGGGAAAAATAATCACGTGAGCATGCGTTTTATAACTTTTAATTTGTCCGAAGTAAAACTACGCATGCTCACGTGATTATTTTTCCCTTTCCTATCCAGTTCCCATAGAAAAACGGATGAGTGGAAACTCACCTTAAGTATATGCATAAAATTAGACAACATTAGTATGATGAATATTGGGTATTTTTAACATCAAACAGTTCACTCTAATTTTTCTTCATATAAAAATAATAAAAAAAAAATTAGCAAAGAATAATTTAATGAAGATCTTTTTCGAAATAAATTGGTTAAATCTGCGTTAGAAAATTAGGAAAAACATTTGCTTGTCAATTGTTTAGAATGCAGAAATAATTTAATATTACAAATGTTTGTTCCCTATTAAAGGATAATTAAAAAAAACAGTTAATGTTAGAAATAAAATAGTAAACAATAATGATGGACAGTATTTAAAAATAAAATCAAAACCAAATTGAAGTACAAAAATAATATTTACAAAAATGAATTTAAAATAATAACAAAGTTGATATTAGCTGTGGAAAATAATTGAAAAACAACTTCAAAAAACATTTCTTCTGTGAAGCCCCATAGTTTTTTTTAAATTTTGATTTAAATACCCACTAATACGGCTCCATTATCAATTAATGAAGAAATGAAACGAAGAAATTTTAAAACGTATTTAAGCGCTGATCAAATTGTTACTGATGATCTTAATGAAAGAAATAACTTTCCTGGTCAGATTTCGAACAGCTTAACTCCTTCAGGTATGTCTTCTCATTGTTTAAAATGTTACTCAAAAATTTAGTTCACAAACTTGAGTTATGAAATAGCACTAGTACGAAAGATTATGTATATGTTTCTGGTGGTAAACGGGTATCTGTTGCTTGAATTCAGGTAGCTCCATCAGATTCTAATTTAATTTTTGTTCAAAAACGTTGTCAGTTCCTGTCGGTTTTGATGGCATGCCATGGCAATATGGCATATTCAATGAAAATAAAAGTCAAGGTCAACAAACATTTGATTTGGTCAAACTCAGTTTTTTTAGATGTTTAAGAACATTCAAGAAGCATTTAGTTGCTAGTTTTTCAAAATTGACAAACATTTAAGGTATTGTAGGTGGAAAATGTAACACAAATAATGTAATATTTTATAATATTCTTTAATTACAGTCATTAGATTTTTAAATTTGAAAATTAATTGTTTATAGATTGCGAACACATGTTGTATGCTAATGTACTAATGTGCCAACTCAAATACAAATGTATAACCTTTAGGAGTTAGCTTTGGGGTGTGGGAAACCCTTTACACCCCTCTCCTTACGGACAGCCCTGTTTGTCATATATGACAAACAGTAAATATCCATTCCATAGAAACTTGAAATGATCGTGATTTAAAAAATATTTTTTAACTGTTTATGCCTATGGATTATTATAATATATACTTTATATGTTCTAAAATTGATATAAATATAAATTTAAAATTTGGCTATGAGACACCATCATTTAAATTAATAAATTACATTTAACATTGTTATACTTTCAGTATATGAGATTGCAATTTTTCAAACGTTTTTTGATACGTAAAGAGAAAACGTAGATGCACTGCACCTTTTCAAGATGTAATTGAGAAAACAAAAATTGTAATTAAGAATCGTAAGATGTAATTGAGAAAACAAAAGTTGTAATTAAGAAACGTGAGATGTAATTGAGAAAACGTAAGTTGTAATTAAGAAACATAAGATGTAATTTAGAAAACGAAAATTGTAATTAAGAATCGTAACATGTAATTGAGAAAATGTAAGTTGTAATTAAGAAATAGAAAGATGTAATTGAGAACACGAAAATTTTAATTTAGATATCGCTTTAAAGGAGTAAGTGTAAAATGGCGCTTAAAAAAAAATGGCGCGTAAAAAAATGGAGCGTATAAAATGACGCACTTAAAAATGACGCAAGATTTGTAGCGTAAATTTAATTTTTTACGGAAAAATTTAGGGAAAAATTAATAATTTTTGGGCAAATGAATTTAACATAATAAACACTAAAAACATTTTAAGGAAAAATTTATAATTCAATTAAAAATTATAATTAAAAATTATATAATTAAAAATCACTTCATTGATCATTTAAGCACCAACTTGTACGTCTTCCATATTTAAAATAGTTGCATAGTGCGTGGTTGTGTGTTGTACCGCACGTGCACAATCTCCTCCCATTATAGTATTTTTCGCCTCAATTACAATTTGTTCTAAGTACTGCATGCGCTGTTCCGCAATCCCGTCACCTAATACAGGTGGAATGCGAATTGCATTTTTAACGTTACTTTTAATTTTGGACCAGATCGTTTCCACCGGGTTCAACATTGGACTGTAAGGTCCCAAACGTAACAACTGAGCTGGTGAATTATCAAACACCCTTTGCAAACGTGCGTGACAAGGAGCATTATCTGTTACGACGACCAAATCCTCCAAACGATTCCCGGATGTAACCCACTGGTGAAACATAGCCAACATCCACTCGTTACAGGAATCTGCTTTAAATGATCCTCTGCGAGTTTCTATCATGACGACATTTGTAGTTGAAATAGCTGCAATCAAGCGTATGTTTAAACCTTTTGAAGCAGGTACTTTCATAATTGCTCTTTTTCCTTGTCTCGCGCGTCCTTGCGTTTTTCTACAAAAAAAGGTTAAAATTTGTTTCATCCAACCAAACTATCTGACGACCATTTGTGATATGTTCGTTGATGTTTCTAACATATTCAGCTCTTTTTTGTTTGTTTTCATAACTGTTCATTGTAGAAGGCTCCTTGTGCACTTTTTTTAATGAGAACAATCTGCCTTCGAGGTAATTTGCTATTGTTGTTGTGCTAACGTTAATGTTAAATTGTCTTAATATCTTTGTTTTGATGGCCACCAATGTTAATGTTTTTTCGATTTGATCTTCGGTCAACTTTTTCGGTTTAAAACCTCCTTTTCCGATGAAATTTAAATTTCCGCTGCGAACCCAATTGTATGCTGTCTTATATTTGATACCTAGCGTTTGCGCGAGATTCATCTTCAAATCGCTCCGCACATTCAACAACTCTTCTCCTGTCATTTGGAGAAGATAAAACGTAACGTTTCCTTTCAACTTGTTCAGTTGTGTGTATTTCATGCCGACAAATCGGACAACTTGAATCTGGTTGTTCCAGAACTGGACGTAAACAAATTTGGTGACATAAATGTTGACACGGATTTAGCTTAATCACAGACTTTCGGGTCATAGTGTATTGGCATATAACACAACGATCTTTCAATTCCATTATTATTACTTGTGCATACAAAAGCAAAATTTAAGATTATAACTTAAATTCATGTCCAAAAAGACCTTTTGTAACAACCTACAAACTTAGACTGTGAATTTGCTATTTTAATTTATGTGTTCTCAATTACAAGTTACGATTTCTCAATTACATATTAAGATTTCTCAATTATATCTTACGTTTTCTCAATTACATGTTGTGTTTCTTAATTACATGTTACGACTTCTTATTTACATGTTGTGTTTCTCAATTACATATAACGTTTTCTCAATTACATGTTGTGTTTCTTAATTACATATTACGACTTTTTAATTACAACTTTCATGTTCTCATTTACATCTTGAAAAGGTGTATTTCATAACAAAAAAGATTTTTAACGAAAAGTAAATAATTAATAAAAATGTTTGACGAGAATAATGAAAACATATGCGTTACGTCAGTAAGAAAAAATATATAAAAACTCGATTCTTACAGTAAAAGTTTTAATTAAAAAAATTTTTATTTAATAAAATGTAGCTCTTGATTATTTAAAACAAAACTTTATTATCATTTTTTCTATCAAAGAAAAATTGATTCCAAATTTTATACTTAAAGTTGCGTTACGTCAATAACTATTTTAAAAACGTGATTAACACGACGTAACGCAACTTTAAATAACAATGAATTGACCAGAGAACTTTTTTTATAATTTAAAAGATTACTTAGATCATGGAAGTATAAAACAGATGGAAGTTCAACCGCATTGAAATTCTTCGGGACTATGCTTGTAAGTAAACAATAAGAAAACGACATCAAGACTGTACGCTTAAACGCTTAATTTTTAACGTTGACGCAAATAGATACGTTTATAATAATTTAAAAATATAGTATTTTGAAGGTTGGCCAATAATATTCAAGAAAAACATTAAAAATGGCGCAACGTAACGGCAAACAACAACTTTTTTATAAACTTTATATTAAATGAATGGAGTACTACAAGAATGAATGGAGTTATCATATACAGCTAATAAAACTTTAAACTTTAGTTACTTAAAAAACAATTTTTTTGATTTTTTAAAAATTGTTTTAGTTGTCTTTTTTATCAAACGTCGTGTTATGACTTGAAGAAAAGAAGCTTAAAGAAAAGCAAGAAAAGAAGCTTAAACTAACACATGCTTTTAAAATCAAGTGGTTCTATTTAATTACCGAGTTTTAATAAACCTTTTGTTGAATAATTGCAAATACTAATGGTTAAAAATTTGCAACATATCCCTAAAATAATTCATTTTTTAATGTTTTAATAAAGATCTTTTCAGTGAATTTTGTTGTTTTTTTATCCAGTGAAACTTGTTTTTTTTTACAAGCATACTCCCGAGACGACTTGAAATTGCTTTGATGTTTGCGGCTCGATGAACTTCCATCTGTTTTATACTTCCATGCTTAGATTTACTTTTGAAAAACTAAATTACGATGCCGTGAGTGTTATTTTTAAATTGTTTAATAATCAACTCGCTCAAGTTATATATAAATAGTATAAAAAAAGTAATTTTGTTTTTATCCTATAGTAAGACTCCAAAAGAAAAGTCTGCAAAATGGAGGAAACATAATCCAGAACAAAACAAAACTCTTAATGAAGGTTATTCAAAAACTTATTGACAAAGATTAAAAATTTCACTCAATGGTGAGCAAAGGAAAATAAGAAACACAAAAAATAGCAAAAGGTAAAAGAAGTATAGAGAGAAGAAGAGAACTGCTGGATTTGATTTACCCTATAAAGGAAGTTAATGGAATGTATAAAAAACAGAATCTAAGAATTATTATTGAATTAACAAACTTTTTTTACTTAAGACCATGCAATGTTTTTTCAATCACCAAAGTACCACATAACGTTTGTGTTTGCGCTATTCATGAAAGTATGCGTTTTAAAATAGTATTTGTTGACAGACATTGACATGCACTTAAACTTCATATGTGAGAATTCGCTTATTGAGTGTTTCATGAACCATTGCGAATATTGTATGGGTGCACTTAACATTCAAATATTGTAGTATGAAACTGAGAGTTTAAATAAACAAGTAACTTGGCAAAAATGGGTTAAAACTGAATTAAAAAAGAATCGTCCTAACGTTTATTGCAATATTGAGAAAGTCTCTAAGTCTGGGCCGATAAGTGAATTATTATATGAGTTATACAAACTAGTTCCTGATTTTTTGGATCACGTATATGTAAAAATTAATCAAGCTAAACTATATCGTCAAATGATTGATATATGTATACAACAAAATTCTAACCAAGCTGTCGTAGGAGTTGATTTTGCAGAAAACTTTAAATGCATCACTCAAAACGAATCAAATAGCGGCCAGACTCTAATTTCAATCTTCACCACAGTTGTATATCATCGGTGCCATTTGCAGTCATTTACAGTTGCATCGGACCATCAAAAACATTCAGAAGAAACCGTGGTTCCGTTCATTGATGTCATTATGGAGCAGCTGCCAGAAACAGTCCAACAAATTACATTTTAAAGTGATATTGCAACATCTCAGTTCAAAAATAAGTATATAATGGAGTCTTTAAAAATGTTACAAAGACAATACAAGATGAAAATCAAATGGGCTTTTTTTGCACCCATGCACGGAAAATCCGTTGTTGATAGAGTTGGACGATTTGTTGAAAGATTTGTAAAGAATCTCGAAATATCAAAGTAACAACAGCATCCCAACTTGCAAAGGCAGCAGAAAATATGTATGTCAAGGTTATTTTGGTTGATGTTGATGAAATTAAAAAACGCAATGAAGAAATTGGGTTGTCAAAATTAATTTCTTCATCAAATTCGTTACCAGGAATAAAAAAAAACATTTCGAAGTTTAAACTATTAGCAAAAAAGAGAAAGTTATTGAGAAAATTATTGGCAAAAAAAATCGCACCTTGTTTGATTTAAAATATCTCTTTGCTTATAAAATAACTAAAATTTATATTATGAAACTGTGATTAGAGTGGAAAGAAAATTTCATTTTTGGGTTGTTTTGAGTAATATTTCTGGTCAATGTGACAGCTTTTTGCGGCCTTTACTCTCGAAGTATTTATAAAAGAGTCGTACAAATATTTACCAAATTTTAAAATTAAATTTAAAGTAACCGAACAGTTATATTTTGTTATTAGAATTTTATTTCAAATTAAAAAAAAAAAAATCTTTGACGTTCAAGCGCTTTTTCATTTTGGCGCCTACAGGCTACACCCCAAATTATATAATATCTTTAATATACCAATTTTATCAATATTATGTTATTAAAAAATAAAGTTATTAAAAAATAAAATAAGACTTGACAAAATTAGCATGTTTTTAAACAACTATAATTCTCTGAGTTAGAGCGTTAAGTCAGTAACGTAACGTCAGTTATTAATGAACTTCAGAATAATATTTTCTGCAGGGAATTAATACATCTATATAGCTTATTTGTACAACAAATCATCTGCATAAATGAGTCTTTAATTCTGCTTAAGTCTTTAATAACTGCATAAATGAGTCTTTAATAATAAAAGTATTTTTTCATTTGTTTTTTTCTTAACTTTTAGAGAAACTTAATACCAAATGTTGATATTAGAAAAATAGCAGATTGCAGCGTTACGTCAGTAACGTAATATATATATATATATATATATATATATATATATATATATATATATATATATATATATATATATATATATACAATTATTTTAATTACATTATCTTTTATTTTGGAAATATCAACTTGAAAATATTAATTTTATAATATTTCTGCAAAATAAATTTCAAATCACAAGGATTTTAGCAAACATGCTAAGCATCAAATCATCGAAATAGTTTGTGAACTATAATAGCATGTTATTTTATTATTTAAAATTTATCAAAAGAAATAATCATTAATGTCTTCCATAGGTTAAAATCTTCATGCTTTTTTCGCATTCCGCATTGTTTTTAAATGGCGGTCATTCATAATTATCGCTCCGTAAAATTAGTTAAAATTTTTTTCTTTTTTTTATAACAAATCTATAAAAGATATCTTATAGACATCTAAGTTTAGATGAAAAAAAAATTATCTATGCACGATCTATTTTATGCATCTAATATGCATCTGAAACAGAGCAAAAATAGTATCTCTAGAATCAGACGTCTTTTCGATCTCTAATATACGTCTAAAATATACGTATCGGCAATAGATACAAATTAGACCAATTTTAGACGGTCTAAAAGACGTCTATTGTTTGCTGGGATATTCCATGAATTTTATTCTTTTCAGCTTTTAATCTGTTTTTGCATTAGAATTAACGTATTGTATAAGTGCCTTTTTTTTTTTTATACTAAGTTTATACTGAAATGTACATCTTGTATAAATATTTGTAATTTGTAATAAATAAATGAATTCTACATGAAGTAGATTATTTAATACAAAAAGAATATAGACATTTTCAGAAATTTATTATATAAAATCATTAAAAAGAATCAATATTTAATGTTAGTTACTTCAGATTTCTTAAACAAGACATCCTTTGCTTTTTCGGAACCTATTATACATTGTAAATCAAGCAAACTTTCAAGTTGATTTGAAGATCCTGCAAACGCTTTATTTATAAAAAATGTACACTCTTCTTCTATAAAACTATACTGTGGGTAAAGGCGCTAAACCCAGCAATTATTAAACACGGAGACAGTGACAACCGAAATATTTAATATCATAAAGTTGTATAAAATGACATGCTATGGTGCGCGGTGTGTATAATATATAATTTTTAAAATTACTTATATATCATACAATTTTTTTAACAGTATTTTTAACAACATAAAAAGTAGTGAAAAAAAAATTATAATTATATAATTATTAACAAGTAAAATATTTAAAGTAGTGCTTATCATATTGCTGTCCAAATTAAATTAGTATAATAAATAAACTAAAAACATAACCTCAACTTCAAGAAGAAGCTGGTCTTCTAAAAGCACTAATTCAACTTTAGATAATGAATCTATAATATAAGCCTATTGAAACTGTCTACTTGCAGATCCATTTAAAGTTAGATGACTTTTGATCCAACATATTTGCCTAATTATGTTTGATGCCTGGCTTAAAAGCAAGTCTTAAGATAATTTATCTTTAAAAAACTATAAATACAAATACAACAAAAGCACTATATGCATGCATCATAAACACACCTAAAATATATTGTAGGGTAATTAACTCCAATTAATTTGACTCCAATTAATTTCTTCAATCATGGACAAAGGTTTTGTGAGCTAAAATATAAAACAATGTAAATATAACTTGGCATCATTGACAACCATCTTTACTACTAATTCAAATCATTATACTAAAAAAGAAGTGACAAATATTTTGGTGCTATAATTTTATTTTAACAGTTTAACGAAAGTTGTAAGGTATTTTTAGATTTTGATTTGAAATGATACTGCAACACTTGGTTTTCTAATGACATGTACGTTATTTAGTTTTTACAGATACATGAGCATTTTCTAATAATAATTTTCAATTTAAATTGAAAATACTCAATAATACAATGAATTAAAATGGTTAAATTTCATTTCATTTTCTATAACTTTAAAATGAAATATATGTATTTTGCATTGCAACATACGAAAGAGTTTTTAACGGAAACAAACTTACGAAACGTGCCATAATAAGTATATATAATGATGTTTTTTGAACTCATTATCAATAGTTAAAATAAGAATGATGAGGAGGATTATACATGTTTGTTTTTTTAAAGCATATGAAGTTTTTGAAACAGGTTTGAATATGTTTGAGCAAAAAGTAAAAAGAGGCTCAAAAATATGCTTAAGCTTAAGCATATTTCTAATAAAATATACCTATTTCAATAATTTCTGAAAATGTGCGCGTTATTAAAGGTTAATGGGTATAAAAAAATAAAAATTTGACTTATGCTCTGTATTTTTGTTTTGGTTTTAATGTAGCTGAATTAATGTTGTTATAAACTTCTTTTTTTGCTATTTTTGTTGGTTTAAATTTTGAAATATATATTTATATTTAAAATTTTTAATTAAATAAAAATAAAATTTCTTAAATGGTTTATCGAGGCTCAAGAATATGCTTACATATCCTTATTTTTTTTCCAAATCTGAACTTATAAGCGTTATGCTTATTAAAAAAAAACGAGTATATACAGTAGAATTCCGTTATCTCAGTCCCTGGATATGTAGGACTTTAGGGCTATCCATAAATGATGTCAGTAAATAAAAGGGGGAGGGGGTACTAAAAAGTTTGGCAAGAATTGACAATGGGGAGGGGGTGTTAAGACCAAAATGATGTCCATTTAAGAAAAAAAAATCAAGTTTATTAGCCAAATTCACGTCAGAAACCTGGATCTATTTGTAGGGGAAAAAAAAAACGGTAGCTTTGTTTAAACATTTTTAGTGTTTTTAGTTATCTTAAACCTGTTCTGTTTGTGTTTTTTATTCAGAAAAAAGTTTAAATTATTAGCTTTAGCTATCCTAGATTTTAAAATAAAAAGACGTTCTAAAAACGCAAATGGGAAACCAATAGGATTTTATCGCCTTCCACGTGTAGAAGCTATTCAGAACAAATACAAAAAACTTTTTAAAACAGTTGGAATGTATTGAGATCATGATCACATTTGGTCACAATACGACTTTAAACTAAAGTCACTATTTTTATTGAAAAAGGTTTGAAATTTATATAAACAAAACTATCTATATACAAAAATAGACTTCACACGGTTTTGTTGTTATTTATAACGCTACCATTTTATTTTTTTTACCTACAAACCGTGTTATATGAATTTGGCTAATACGAGCAGATTTTAAAGGTATTTACATCTACAATGTGGTATAGAAATAGCATATTTGCTTTGTGGGGAATTCGATGTAAGTTTCCTAGAGACATGATAAAAATTAAAAATTTACCAACGTTTTACTATTGTATTATCATTTGACTGAAAATCTAATTGTTTACAAATATCAACAATTTGTATATAAATTTAATAATCATTATTCAATCCCAGCGGAATTTAAAATGTGCTTTAAAGCAAACATATAAAGTAATTTGTCGTTATTATCGAAGAACACTTCAATAACTTATGGGAAGACGATGAGAGATTGAATTTATATTATAGATATAGAATAAAATTTTCAATAGTTTGTTTACTATTTGATGAGGTATCAACTGTTCTATAATATAATATGCTGAGATATAAATGTGTAATTTAACCAGAAAAATCCAATGGTGCATACGCATATTTTTAATGTTACTTTAAGAAGGGAGGGGGTACAAAATGTGACATCATATAAAAGGGGGTTTTTCCAAAAATTGACAGTTTGACAATAAGAGGGGAGGGGGTTAAAAATTGAGAAAAATCACAGACATCAATTATGGACAGCCCCTTTTACTAAGTTGTAAAGTTTTTTTAATTTTCCTTGAACGTCCTATAAATACCAAGAGCTACGCTTCCCTCGGACATTCCCTAAGTCGTACTATTTATCTGTTCCCATTTAGAGTCCAACTTAACGGGATTTTACGGTATATATATATGTGTATATATATATATATATATATATATATATATATATATATATATATATATATATATATATATATATATATATATATATATATGTATATATATATATATATATATATATATATATATATTAATATAATCTAGTATATCTAATATATATATATATATATATATATATATATATATATATATATATATATATATATATATATATATATATATATATCATATATATATATATATTCATATATATATATATATTCATATATATATATATATATATAATATATATATATATATATATATATATATATATATATATATATATATATATATATATATATATATATATATATATATATATATATATATATACGAGAATTAGTAGATAAAAAACTTTTAGAGTTAGAAGAAAAGAACTTAATCGAAGACGTGACAAACGATCCATTAGATAAATCCATTAGTCATAGTTTA